CACGCTTTCGGGGCTCAAGTCCATGGCGGGCTTCGCGGACGCGATGATCCCGGAGTGCGACGGGCGCGACGTGTTCGGGCATTCTTGGCCGCTCTGCTCACAGATGTTGCCCCTGGGGGCCTCCAGGTTTTGGCGTTCCCCGATGCCTCCGCTGAGACGCGGGCGAGCGCCCTGGGCGACGTCGGCGGGCCGACAAGGACAACGCTGCCACTCGACTGAAACGGAAGCCTTCGCGCAATCCAGGCCGAGTCTTCGCCGCCCCCGTTGCCGCCTCGGCCCAGTTGGCTGCCCAGAAACGGCGGGGCGCCAAGGCCGTCTCGATCCGACTGCGTCGCCGACGTCGTCGTCGAGGGCGACCTCGGCCGGGAAGGCGCCGTAGCATTCGTCCGCTCGATGAACCGCGCGCGGGGGTTCACGGGCCTTCTGATGTCCAAAGCCGTCGACATGGGTCGCCCCAGGCCAGTTTTTTTGGTTTCTTTTCCATTTGGTTTTCCGCGATGCGCACGCGCCCTCTCGGGCCAGCGAGGTCCTGGCCAAGAGCGCAGATGAGATCGGGGAGGTCCACGCGGCGCTGCGCGACCGGGCGGCGCGCATCGGACACCGCATGGCGGGGGTAGAGGTTTGCAGCGATCTTCTCGCCACTGGGCCACTGGCGCTGGCCAGGGAAGCGGCCCGACGGGGCGGCGGCAGATGCCCTCTGCACCTGGGGCCTCCAGGGGCATCCCTCGCAGTCGGGTCGTGGGTTTGGAGTTCGTTGCGTTGATTATTTGGCCCGCGAGGGCTTCTACGTTCTGATCGTTTTTCGGCCCCGTTCGGTCCTGCCCGATTGTAGCCGCGCTGGCCGCCGCGGATCGGATGATTGCACTGCTCATCCTCACCCCCCACATGTACCATGCGGTGCTGTCCTTCCAGTCGATCGACTTCTCCTTCGTCTGCCGCCCATGGTTTTCGGGGGCTCGGAGCTTCTCCCCGAGCGCATGATCAGCGATTGCTTGCGCGACGTCCCCATCCACATTTACGGTCGCTGGCGACTACTTCGCACCGTTGGCGCCACCGCTGCCGCCCCTATCCGCCCGCCCCCATCGGCCCACTCCGGCGCCTCCGCCAGTCTCGACATCTCGCCGGGCCGGGCAGTTATCTGGAGGTTGTTCGGCGGCGCTGCGGGGCGCGCCCGCCCGCTTCGCGGCCGGCCCGTTCAGACATGATGCCAAGAGCCCCTACGCGTCCAAGCACGTCGGGAAGGCGAACATCGGCCTTTTTGCGGAGATCCGCGGCGCCGAGGCGGGCGACAGCGCGCGGCGCGCACTTCCAGGCACCGCGGCTTTCTGGTCTCGGGCCCCCGCCGCTGGCCACGCGGGGGCTGGGATCGCAGCGCGGAGTAAATTCTTAGACCTTTTCGACGCGAGCCCCCAGTTCGCCCGCATCTGGCGCGGCCGTGCTGCGTCGCTCCGATCGCGGGGCCCGCTCGGCGCTTTGGACATCGCGAAGTCGCACTTCCGCGCGGGCTCAGATCTCGCAGAGCACGACCTCCGCGGCTTGGGCCCCCATTTACAAGCTCGGGCAATTTCCCTCCCCGCCCTTCGGGCGCTCCTTCGCCCCCACGCCGCCGACGGCGCGGCTAGCCCTGAGGGCGCCCTCGCGATCGTCGGCGGGGATTTCAGCTGCGCCCTCTCCGCTGAAGATTGGGTGTCTCTCAATTCTGGGCGCGCTTCGTGGCGCGCGGGCGCGGGCATGGAGTCGCGCATCTGGTCGGCCCCCGGGCCCCCCCTTCGGCCCCCGCGAAGTGTTCCGGGGGGGGCCCGCGCATGCATCGGACAGCGCGCGCTCCTGGGTGGGGCGCCCTTATTGCAGCCGGCGCGTGGCTGAACAGCGTGATCGCCATCTTTGCGAGTCTGCGCTCGGATGGCGCCGCGGCTCGTCGCGCCACCGGGCGGTTTCTCCCCCCGCCACGCCGCGCGGAAACTCCCGACCAACGAGCGCGGCATATCCAGGACTGCATTGGGTCATGTGGACTTTCCCCGGTGATTCGCCCTCAAGCACTTTCAAGCTATCCGGGGAGAGCCATCAGCCACCGTTTTGGGAAGGCCATGCAAGTCCAAGGCCTGCATCCGCGCCGTTGCGGAGCGCTTGGGCAGCCCGCTGCGGAGCGCGCCTGACGCCGAGTCTCTTGAAGGCAGGATCGGAGCCACCGTGCAATTGATTCGCGCGTCGGAGGGGGGTCGCTGCAATGAGATGTCGGCTTGCCTGGCCAGGCATCCACAGCTCAAGAAGGGCCTCGTGGACAACCCGCGCAACCTCGGTGGCATCTTATCCTGGCGCCTGCAGAAGGTCAATGACCACGTGGCCCAGCTTGCCGGGGAGCACGCACTCGACGTTTGGCAAGTCGCATCCTGCGCTGGCTGGCGGGGGCGAGCAGCGCGCCCGGCAGACCCGCCAGAAGAACGTGCGCCTCCTCTACCGCGCGGTGCCAGGGCGGATTTGCAACGTGGGCGCTGTTCAGACCTGGGGCGGGAAGGCGGTTGTCGAGCCAGGGGCCATGGCTTCTGCGCCCTCGCACCGGGCCAGGGTCTTCAAATCGTCCCCAGTCGACCACAAATCGTTTCAAGCCTGGCTCGACGAGGGCCAAGGCGACAGATGACGGCGGCACCTCTCCGTCTCGCCCCTGCGGTATCTCATTCTGGGGCAGCATCGCGCTCGGCAGGCGGTGTTTAACTTTTAATAATCCTGCCCTGCGCCCGGGCGGCGCACCCTTCCTGGCCCGGCGCCGGGCAGTTGATCTCTCCGCGCAGGCCCCCTTTCGACGCGACCCAGGCAATGCGCGGCGAGGGGGGCCGGAGCTTGCGGCTGAGGAGCACGACGGGTTCGACAGTCGTCTGCTCTCCATCCTGCCGACGAAGCTCTCGGGCCGCGCCGCCGCGGGGGAGGGGCGCTGCGAGATCGGGAACGCCCGCCCGCTCAATGTCACGAACAGCGACAACGGGCTCCTCGCAAGGGAGGTGCGCTCGGCCATCGGACCCTTGGTTTCCGAATCTTCGGCGCGGCGGGGGCGCGTCGGCGGGCGCTCGGCGCTCGCCGACCGCGTGGACATTGAAGAAGCCGTTGCCATCAGCGCGTGCTCGTCGGAGGAAGGAGCCGCCATGTTCTACGACTTTGCCGCCGCATGCCCTTCCGTGGAGCGCGAGTTCACGCGGGAGGTGTTCTGGGTTTTGGATTGGCCCGCTTGGCTGCTGAACTTCGTCTCCGCGCTGCATGCCACCAGCCGCTGCCATGTAGTTCTGGGGGGCTCCAGACACGGCGGCTTCGTCGTCAGCAGAGGCGCCCGGCAAGGTTGCCCCCCGCCGCCGCTTTTCTCTGCCGTCGCAGAAGCTGCCCTCCGGGCATGCGCGGATGACGCGGCGCTCATGCACCCCAGCATTCGGAGGGCCATTGGCCGCCTCGAGACCGTCTTCCAGGAATGTGAGCCCATGCCGGGATTGGCGCTCAACGTCTCGAAGACGAGTCATGACCCACTGGGCCCCTTTGATCCAGTCGAAGTCCGCGCGCGACTATCAGCATCGGCCCCCCTGTCGGGGGCCTTGATGGTAGACTCCGACACGAAATACTTCGGTTTCTACGCTGGCCCGTGCCGGGGCAGGTCATCGTGGGAGTCTGCTCTTAAGGAGTTCGCGGAGAGGGCGCTTATTTGGCGCTCTTTGGGCTCCGGATTATTTCGCGCGGTCGATTTTTATAGTGTCTTCGTCTCTTCAGCTCTCATGGCGCAGCTTGCCCTTGCGCCTCCTGATTTCGTCGACTTCCAGCCCCCGCCCGCCGGCCACTCTTTCCAGGATCTCGCGGCTGGGTCACCGCGGGGCTTCTCAAGGGCATGAAGTTCGCGACTTTCCCAATCGTGCTACTTGGTCGCCGCGACTCCTCGCTGGCTGCCCGCGCAGGCGTGGCGGCCCGCGAAAACGCCAGCCACGGAGGTTTGCAGATCGCTCGGCGGGCTCGTTCCTTGAGGCTTGCGATCGCGAATGCTGGCTTCCAGTTCTGCCCCGCTTTCTAAGCGGATTGGTTCACTGGTTGCTTTGTCTCGTCGCTGGGCGCGGCTACGACGGGGCCGCGGGAATCGAGGCCGGGCGGCGGACTCACGCCGCAGGCGGGGCGCGATGAACGCAGGCGGGGCGGCCGGCAGGCCCGGGCAACCGCAATTCTGAGCGCGCGCAAAGACTTCGAGGTCCAACGGCGCGTTCGGCGCCGGTTGGACACATGGCGCTTGCAGATGCTGCCGGGGCACTGCGTGGCGAGGTGGCTGGAGAGCATGAGGGCCGCTTCTCCATGCCTCCCGCCGCGCGTTAAAACCCGTCAGTTTCGCGCGGTTTTCAATGGGCGGGCTGTCGACCGGACGTCGCAGGGCTGCGTCTTGGGCTGCCAGGGCTGCCCCGACAACGTGGAGGACTGCGCTGCTTGCGCTTGCTGCTTGCTTCCACGCAAAGCGCCGACGTGCCGACATTGGTTGGGGCTCGGCGCACTTCCCGTCGACAGCTGTCTCGCGGATTTCCTCGGCATCGCACCGTCGCCAGCATCGATCCCTCGCGAGCGCGAGTGGGGCGCGGCCGAGGCCGCTGCGCTCCGCGCCATCGGTGCCCACGCCCAGTGCCGGCTCCAAAACGGCGCCCGGCGCCAGGGGGGGCGCGCCAGACGTGGCCGGCCTTTTTCCGCGCTTCGGCGCCAGGGGGGCACGCGAGCGCGATATCCTTGGTTTCTTCCGCTCTGGAAATGCCCCGATTGCTGCCCTTGTCCTCTCTCGCGGCGCCAATGCGCGTCTAGATTATGTGACGTAGCGCCCTCGGGATTGGCTGGATGTTTGGGCCTCTCACGCAATGCGCTGCCGTCTTGACCCGCAGGTGCGCGGCTCAAGCGGGTTGGGGGCGTCTCGAGCGCGGCGCCAGCCCAGCGCGCAGGGCGCATTTTTGAGGGCCGCGCACCTTCTGCTGCACCTCCCAGGCATGGTCGGCGAACAGGCAGCGCGATGGCGGAGGATGTCTCGATGCCTATGGGGCCCGGCACGTGCGCTCGCCACCCTGCTGCGCGCGACGACGGGCCTGATGGCGGATGGACCACGGGCGTCGCGCGCCGCCTGTTGACGGACAACCCAGGGGGGGCAGCCTGTCAGATTGAATATTTCGGAGCCAGCGACGAGTACTTCGCTTGGCGGCTCAGCTGGCACATGGCCACGCGCGAGAATCTGATCCCACGTGTCCTCCGAGTGCCAGTGTCGCGGCGCAGGCATGTGGCGCCGCGGGCGGGCTGCCGGGCCCTTCGCACCCGCGCGGCAGAGCGACTGACGGCCCCCCAGGCAGCTAAGCGACACGTGGCAGCCCTAGCCATGGACCCGGGGTGCCCTGAGCTGCCGAGAGACGTTGCTCAGGCGGCCATCGACGAAGCGAGGTCCGAAGCCGACGACGACGAGAAGTCCCTGGCAGGGCTGCTGGCCCCGCAAGGAAGCGCCCCGCCGCCGCCGTGTCCAGCGAGGATGACCTGGGGGTCTTCGCTGACGAGGAGGCGGAGAACGAGGCCTTCGAGGAGATCGAGCGGGAACGGAAGGCCTTCTCCAGCAAGACGGAGGGCGCGAAGGTCTCGGCCAAGGGTGACTACATGGCGAGAGTGCACAAGTTGAGAGAGAGAGGCCCGCGGAGACCCGCGGGCCGGCCGCCTCGCCGCGCGGCCCCGATCGCGGTGCCCAAGAGGAAGGCGAAGTTGGGCGAGGTCGCGCAGGCGACGGGTCAGACGTTGGCTACCGCCGCTGCGGGCCCGATTGGCGACGGCCGCGACAGCGCGGCTGGCGAGCGGGCCATCCTGAAGACGCTCGCCAGCTACCTGCGCAAGAAGGACGACGACGACCCCTTGGACAGCGACGAGGAGCGGGTGCCTGGAGGCCGCCCCGCCGCTGCCCGACGCCTCGCCTATAAGGAGATCGGTGAGAGATGCCCAGGTCGCCTTTCGGGGAAGGAGATGGGGAACATGACTCGGCTTCCTGGCCGACGGAGTGCTGGAGGTACTAGTAAGTTCCTCCTCCGAGCGTTGCGGCCAGCCTTTCCCCTGCGTGAGATCGGGGAGGAACGTTGCCGAGATTTGCGGACTCTTGCGGGGAGCGCCGATTTGATACTGTCTGGCAAGCCTTTGCACACGCTTGACTACACTTTCTGCAGGATCAAGGCGCTGCAGGAAGCGGTGCGTGATGGGCATTCCAGGGCTGCGAAGCGGTTCGAGCTCACCCCGCCCGACAACGGAGGGCTGTGCCTGTCGGGCGAAGAGGGGGAGCTCGCGGCGGGCATCGAGGCCGCCGAGGTTCGCATGGCGCAGCTGCTCGGGCGCTTGGAGGCCGCGGCTAGGAGGCTGGCCGGGGCCGCGGCGAGAGCTTGGCCGACCGCCTTGCAAGCCCGAGCCGCGGCGGAAGCCGAGAGCGCCGCCGACCGCCGACATCGGTGCTGCCGCGGGCGCCGCGGCCATCCGCAGCCGCCTCGGGACGCCGCCTCCCCGCGGCCGCTCCCCTGTCGCCTTGCGGAGCGCTCTCGCTGCGCCGTCGCTGGGGGGCCCCTTGCCCGCGCTGACAGACCGCCGGGGCCCTGGGGCGGCGGGCGGCCCGCCCCTGTCTGCGCGGGCGCAGGCGCGCGCGCGGAGACTCCGCGGTCCGAGGGGGGGGGCAAGATGCAGCCGAAGTAGAGGATGACGGCCCAGTTTTTCAAGCACCGCGGAGCGGCCAAGAACGCGGCCAAGGTTGGGGCCCCAGTGAGACGGGCCATCCAGACACGGTGAGCTCGGTGCAGGACGCGGCCATCAGCAGCGAGGTGGCCGCGCTGACGCTGGGCCAGTGGAAGGCGAGCGTCGCCTCCCGCGTGTGCCGCAGCGGCCCGAGCAGGACGGCCACGTTGGAGACGGGCGTCGAGATGCTCACCAGCGCCAGGAAGGTGCCAACTTGCATTGGAGAGTTTGTGGGAAGGCTCCCTTTGGGCGTCGCGCCACAGTCGCTGGGGGCCAGTGTCGGGCGAGACGCGCTGCCCCTGGCAGTGAGGGGGCCGGCATCCCCTATCGCCTGGGAACGTGACATGATACGCAGAGGTTTGTTACATGGTGTGAAATTCCCAGTGATATGACGAAATGAACTCCTGCCCACAAGGGACGAGCACAGGTCGTGGCAGTCGAAGTGCAGTTGTTTTTGAATTTTATCTGACACCACCCGTCGTAGTCTGTTAGCCGCCCTTTTCCCCCTCCGTCCCTTTCTGTCCCCTCTGGGCTCAAGTCGGCGCGGGCGAGGCCCGCGGGCGGGCCCCTCTGCGGTCGTGCCTGGGCACGGCCTCCCACCGCGGCGCCATTCCGCGGCCCTGCGCGCTCGCGGGCGCGCTGCTGGTGCTCCTGGGCCTCTCGGGCGACCTCCAGGAGGAGGCCCTGGCCGTGGGGGGCAGGTTCAGCCAGGACCAGGTCCTGGACTTCCTCGGCCTCCGCTTCGAGAGCGAGGACGAGGGCGAGGCCGAGGGGGCAGAGGCGGAGGACGCCGCCTCGAGCGAGGAGGTCGGGTTCGTTGACGCGGCGGAGGAGATCAAGATCGTCGGGAGCAGCCCGCTCGTCATGGGGGGCTGGGCGCAGTGGAACAGGATCTACTACTTGCCCAAGGGGCAGAGCGCGGGCGTTGTCATGCTGCTGGTCGAGCGGGTCGGCAAAGCCAGCGACCAGACGTGGACGTGCGTGGGCCCGTCGCTCAGGGTGCAGATCATCTGTTTGAAGGACAAGCAGTCGGTGCAAAGCGAGCCGCCGCGGGGCATCAGCCAGTGGGCGGCGTTCCCAGGGCTGAATGACAAGACGCGGGACATGGTGCTGGCTGCATCCTCGCGGCTGATCGCGCGGAAGGAGTTGGACGCTGAGAACATCAAGGTGGCGAAGGCCGCGGACAAGTAGAAGGGCTTCCGGAAGTTGGGCGGGAAGCGGAAGACCTCGAAGAAGGCGGGCCTCGTGAACTGGGTGTGGGCCATGTGCTCCAACCTGGTCTGCTATGGGTGGCTGCGCCGCTCGTGGGGGGGGGGGGGGGCTTGCTGGCGGGGCTTTCGCCGCCTGGCGCATCTGGAGGTACTTCCACCTGGGGCCCCTCTTCCACAGGGTGTTCGAGGCGGCGGCGGCCGCGAAGGAGACGGCGGAGGAGGTGTCCGACTACTGGGGTCTCCTGTTGGAGGCCTGGGAGTCTGGAGAACTGGAGGCGGTTCTGATGGCGGTCGGAGGTGTGATCTTCGGGGTGTGGTTGCTGAACTACAGTTTCCGCCAGTGGCAGAGCCTCACGGACTCGGGAGCTGATCATGGGCACCGCTGTGCCCGACTCGGACGATGAGCCCGACGCGAAGGGTCTCTACGCGGAGCTGCAGCGAGGACAGGCTGAACTACGGGCTGGGCTGGTGGCGGTCACCGAGGCGCTGAAGAAGGACAGGGCGGAACCCCCGAGCAAGACTACGGGTGGGTCCGTCGGGCCCACCGACGACGCCATGCCGACGACGGCGCAGCTGGACCAGTTCATCGCTAAGTTGATCGAACACGAGGAGTTGGTGAAGAGCGACTCCGACCGAGGCACGAGAGGAAGCGGACGTGAAGCTGGAAGGTCTGTTTCTGATTCGGAGTGGGAGCGGCTGCCATCGTCTCCAGGTTCAGGCTCGGTTTCCGACACGATCGCCCAGCTAGAGATGGAGAGCAATAATCCCAGGGACGCCCTCCTGCAGACCTTGAAGAGCTGCGAGCACATCCCCGACATGCGGGTGGGGGGCATCAAGAGCCGGGTGGCGCCGACAGTACTGAGCAAGGTCTACAGGGGTGGCCGCTCTGCGAAGCTCGAGGTGCAAGAATGGCGGAGGAGTAAGGAGCTCACCAAGGCCCCTATCGCCAACGAGATGCTGGTACTCGCCATGACGTTGGACCGCATGATGGCCTCGGGAGATTTCAAAGGACTGATCAACTGCCAAGCCAGTGAGCTGAGTTGCCTCGGGATGTACGCGATCATGAAGGCCCACGAGGGCGTGACGTGCGAGCACGATTGGAAGAGGCCCCGCAACGCGAGCGGGGCGAAGTGGAGGTCCAAGGTCGACTGGTCGCTGGGCGAGGAGTACTTGAGGCTGACTTCGCAGGACACCATCGAGGACACTCTCGTGGACGACGAGGTGACGGACAAGTTGCGGAAGAGGGCGCAGATCCAGAAGCACCTGACGTCGGTGCGGGACGCGGCGCCCAAGGATGACGAATAGGGGTGGCCCGAGGGTTCGTTTTGGAGTGGCGACCTTTCGGCAAATCTCGCACTGCTGTGCTCACTCCTGTGGATCTGTGCTGCGTGGGTTTCGTCAGCGGGGAGATCGTCAGGTCGAGGGTGGAGCAGGAGGACGGGCTGCCTTGGGCTCGCCGTGCTGAGCCTCGCCTACCCGGTGGACGCTGGGGGGCGGGGCGTCCTGTGTTCGGGCCGTGTCTTGTATATCGCCGACCTGAACCACACCAGTGCGCCCAACTTTCGTCGTGCTCCACGTGAGCAGGCGTTCCTCTTACGGCGACCAGATGATGATGGACTTCAGGGAGCGGGACCCACTTCGGAGCTTGCCTTCTCCTACGAGACCTCTGGCTACGAGGGCTTCGAGTTCGGGCTTCACGACGGAGCAGCTGAGGCTAACCTGGCTGCGTACCTGTCGGACGGTTCGGTTTCTACGGGCTCTGGCAGCTGGGCGCGTTGGGGCAGACCATGGGGCGACTGTCCCGAGCTCGTGGGAGGACGCGACTGGGCTCCAGCGCAAGGTGGTCTACGACATCTGGGATCGCCACGCCTCTCCCGGGGCGTGGGGGGGGCGCCAGCGACGGCAAGGCGGCGCTTCGCCGTCTGCGGGGGCCCGACAGCTCGGGCTATGCAGTGGTCGGAGGATGCGGCCACAAGCGGACTACATCTTCTACTACGTTTGTCAAGAAGGGCGGCCTCTGCAGGATGGTGGCGGAACATGTTTCGTTGCCGCCTCCAGGGGCTGTGGGCCTGCCTCTGACGGACCTCTCGACCACCGCGGCGCCGTACCTAGAGCGTTTCGAGAGTCGGATGCTGGAGGGCCCGAAGGAGGTGGACTGGGAGAGATACGACGGCATCAAGAGCTACTCCGATCCAGGTTGGAAGGATCGCCATACCAGGCTCGCCGTGGCCATGAGGATGATGCGGGCAGGAATGGTCCAGTACGTCAAGGAGGCGAAGCACACCGTGGGCCTCTTTTGCGTGGCCAAGGATGTGAGCAAGAACGGGCGGGACGTGATCAAGTCCCGCCTCATCTGGGACGCTCGGAAGGTGAACCTGCTTTTTCGGCGGCCACCGTGGACTCCACTGGGGTCGCCTTCCGCCTTGTCCGAGTTGGAGTTGACGAACGACATCTTGAAGGACCGAGTGCTGGGCAGTTTCCAGGGGGACGTGCCAGACTGGTTCTACAGGTTGGGGTGGTCGGACGGGCTAGCGGAGTACTTCACGCTGGAGGGGGTCGTGCCCGAGGAGCTCCACGCCCTTGCAAGGGGCGCGGGGGTGGAGCTACCAGCCCCGCCTGCGGGCGCCGCGGGAGTGGGGTCGGTCGCCCCCGTGATGGGTGCTGCTAGGGCAGTCTTCTTGGCCCACTCTGGTCTTGTGGACTGCTTCGAGTCCATGGAAGGCTTGGTCACGGAGCAGATCACCTTGGGCACGGCGTGTCCGAGCTTCGCCAGAGCAGAGTTTCTTGTTATTGTACATCGACGATTACATAGGCTTGAAGCTCGTGAAGGATGGGGAGGACGTGGATCTCGAGGTCACCAAGGGCCACGTGCGGAGTTATCTGAATGTGAAGGGGCTCGCCGTGCACAAGGAGGAGGCGGGGGAAGGACTTCGACGAGGGCTTGGACTTATCATATCTGGGCGACCCGATAACTTGAAGATCTACCCCGAGAAGATGAAGGAGCTGATCATCTGCACCGAGGCGATTGCAGTGACTCGGTCCGTTCGACCGCGGGAACCGGCTACGGTTGTGGGCTGCTGGGCGTGGGCGATGTTGGTTTGCCGACCTGCCCTTGCGATCCTGGACGCCTGCTATCGTTGGGTCGGGACCTTTGCGGGCGAGGACGCCGAGAAGCCGCGGCGTCTTCCCGTCGCCGTGTTGGACGAGTTGAAGGCCATCTTCTTCGAGGCGAACCTGGAGCTGGACTGGCACACGACGGCCTACATGACCGACGAGACGAAGTCAAGTGTGGAAGAGATCAGGGACGAGCTGGACCGAGGGGCCGAGCAGGTATGGCAAATTCGAGTCGGGGAGGCGCACTCGGAGATAGAGGAC